CCCCCCCCCCCCCACCTCAAAAAATTTTCCGCAAAGCAAAAATTTTCCCGTGAAATGTTGGCGATGGGGGGGGGGGGTTTCGAAAATAATCCTTTTGAAAGACCTTTTTCGACGTCAATTTTTCAGAATATTCCTTAATATTTAACACGTTCCGCAATTCCAGCATTCCGAGGCCCCCTTTCGTTACTTTTCTTTACACCCCTCCCTCAGTAGCTCCGGCCCTGAAGATCGGTAAACAGTAACAGAACTCTTCTTATGCATTGCCATAATTTCAAGTTAAATGTTTCCATCCTATGCATTCTCTGTTAAAAATGGAAGACCATTGTATATAGGTCATATGCAAATTAGTGTACAAGCGCTGGCCATTTTGTCGCTAAGTACGTACTCTCATAATACTGCCTTGAAGTGCCTTCACTACCCAATTGAAAATAATTAAATAAATCATTCTTGAGAAAAATTAGCAGCTATATACTTACTGGTATATTGTTGCAATCTGCTCGATAGCCAGTGGACGGTTTGGTGATAAGCTCAGTCTTGATATTAACATGGCTATCTGTTGTGTAGCACATAGTCCACCCACCACCAAAGGAAGACATGTCACAATGAACCTTAATTGCTTTACCGCTGCCATCTGTGTCTATCAAATATTCTCCGTCTCCGCTGCTCAGGCCTTTCTTTAAGATGTCACGACAATTTTTGCCTGCATGGGTAGGAAAAATAACTATCTAAAACGTCAATGGTGCATGCATGAACAGCATAGACATGACAAACGAGGAAGACTTAGTATTCATCCTGTCTTTAACTGGAGTTATTACCGTCCATAACTATTATTAATTAACAATTAACACCACTACCATCTATTACCTTAAAACATCACCATTAGCCCCATTACCGTTACCACAAGAATTTGCACATTCTTATTTACCATCACTAATAAATTGCACTATCACTAATAACTCAATCACTACAAATTAACCATAACCAAGGCATCTTTTAACACCATGGACTGCTGGGGCATTTGCCCCACTGGGCCCCTTCTTCTGCCCCACTACTGAAGGAAAAAAGGCCTATTTCCCATCGTCAGGGCCCTAGGACCTGTATTGAGTATTTGAGTAAATGATCGGGTTTAACATTGAAACGAAGTTTAAAAAACAAAATTAAAAAACAAATTTCACCATTAAAACTTTGTTTTGAGAAGCTGAGATTTTCTAAAATGTGTTTTCAGAATGCAGGAAATGCTATTTCAAAGACCCAAATTTTCAAAATTTCCTGGGGAGGCATGCTTCCAGACCCCCTATCTAACTCGTGCCTGCGGTACTCGGCTCACACCCTCGGCGATCGCATACCATCCTGGGGGGTGGGCAAGGAAAATGGGCTCTTCGGCAGTTTTACTCCACCACTAAAGAATCGTAAAAAATGCACTGACCATAGTTGATATGGATATATGGCAATATAAATTAAGTTTGTCTTGTTTGAACGAACATTTAAAATTATATATAAACTTCTTTTACAATTATTCCGTATCTTGCTTGGTTTTCAAAATAAATCGACTTATTTTGATCAAAAGCAGCGGACATTCCACCATCTTGGATATGCATTCGATATTGTATACCTCACACGTAGGGTAAAAGTCGAATTTTTTATCTTGCAAACGACATGTCATTATCAATATGAAAATTGATTTTCCGAAGTATCTTTTAGAACTCAATTAACTCACAATGTTTTAAGAAAATTTTCGAAGAAATTTACTCCCACATGAAGAAGTTCTAACAAGTTTACCTTGCTTGTGACGTCATCAACAACTCAGTTACTTAGGTCAATTATAATACCAAGATGGTGGACTGCACACTGTTTTTGGTCAAAATATTTCCAAAAACAAGCAAGGTAGAAAAAAGTTGTAAAGGGACTTCAGATATAACTTTAAAAGTTCTTTCAAATAAGACAAAGTTATATTAAACATTATTACTACTTATATATGTACGTACGTATATCAGGTGGCAATTGGGACGCAAGTCCTGTTCCTCTCTCCAGTCACACCTATGATGTATTTTTGCATGTTCTATACTAGTGTCAGTAATCAATCTTGTTTGTATGTAAATGAATTGTGACAAATCAAAATTAAATTAAAAGGGGCGGACCATTAGAAATCCCGGGAGGGGGGGGGGTATAAAATTTTTGCGGCACGAATTTTTTTTTCAGTCTCATGTCTCTGCAGGAATTTTTTTTAATGCATTTAACCTCTGCACGAATTTTTTTTCAAGACTATTTGTACTTTGCTGTTTGCTTGCACGAATTTTTTTTCTCTGACATAATGGCTGCACGAATTTTTTTCCAGGCATTTTTCTTTGCACGAATTTTTTTGGGGGAATTTTCACCCCCCCCCTCCCGGGATTTCTAATGGTCCGCCCCTAATATATTTAAGGGCAAATATAAAAAGACCTCCCTCTCCAATTTTCTAAATTTTAAACTTTTTTTTTATATTTTGACATAAAATATAAACCTCCCGCCTCCTGGTAGTTTTTAAAATTTAGCGATGAGAATCAGGGAATTTATTTTATATGGCCTAATATTACATTTCCTACATAAACTCTAATCAAACATATTTTCACCCCAGGAAATTGCGAATTTACGTAATTACATAGTGTCTGTCTAAATGATTTGGAGAAAAACGAACTAACTCGCCTCATAGCTAACTCGTTATAAATACTGTATATATAAGTACATTATTTTTCGCGCGATAAAAATTATAACTGAGTCTAAGGGAAAGTACATTTATTACACCGAGGGAGGGGGATGAAGATGTCTTGAAAAAAGCTCATATTTTTACAGGGCCCCTGTTGAGGTTATCGGTAAATTTCGATGCCCCCCCCTCCAAGTTTTTAAAATTTTCAATGCCCCCCCCCCCCTCTAGAATTCGGAATCGAAGGAGTACAATCCGGAATTCTCTCTTATCATAGATACAATTTGCAGTTCCTCAAGATGTCTGATATACTCAAGTGCTTCTCCTCAACAAAACTACCGATCTGCTGCTTCTTTCATCTCACTAGCGCCAGATGAAATGGCACTGTCTTTAAAACATTTTAAATTGGCTCTAGGGGTGGAATTATCAACAGGTTGTTGTCCATCATTCAGCGTATTCGGAGTCTTGAACACGTTCATGTAGTGGCCAGGATTTCCTGGATCAGGGTAATGTGCTGGAACCTTACAGTATGTTGCCCCCACCCAACGTATCTCCCGGCATCTGTTGCAAATGTCTTTGCATGCCTGTCAAAAATGCATGCAAAAGTGCCAGTATGCTTCAATTTCTTTAATTTCCATCCCGTTTGTACGAAATATCCCATAAACATAGAACATATCATTCTTGCAAATTGTATATGCTTTTTTGCTTTTTGGCGCGTAAATTACTTCACAAACCTAGCGCAAAAAAAAATTAAAATAAGCTATAGGTGATTTCATGTATCCATTTAGAAGAGCAGACTAAGGATATCTTAAAACTGAAATCGGTTTCGAATACAACCATCAGGGACGTAGCAAAGCATCTGACATTTGGGGTGGGGTATGTCAGAGGATTATACGTGTAATAATTATAATAAAGCTTTTTCTGATTGATTGGCACTCTTATACTAAGTTTTGGGAGAAAAGGGGGGTCTTCTGGGGGTCCTCCCCCAGAAAATTTTTACATTTTCGAAGCTCTAGGACTGAATTTCTGGCGTTTTCTAAAGCAAATTTCGCAAACAAATTGCATGTAAATTGACTGTATTTTACAAAAATGGTTATCATTTCACAAAAATAATTACTTTATTACGCAAATTTTACCTGAAACTGATGTAAAAATTTTAACTTTAATTTGCTGGGGTCAAACCTTTGAAAAGTTTAGAGCCCCCCCTTCAGTATATCAAGAACTTTCAGAACCCCCCTTTAATGCCAGAAAATATTTCGGAGCCCCCCCTTAACATCTTCATCCCCCCCCCTCGGCATAATAAATGTACTTTCCCTAAAATCTATACAGTTTGACAAAACTTCTAAATGTAGGTTTCACTAAAACACTATCGTGGAGCAGATGGTGGTCAACCTGCAGTTATCAGAGTGAGAAAATAATGTTCATTCTTTCCATTAGATGGAGTAATCTTGTATTTGTTGGCAAATAAATAAAATCGAGAGATGTAGTTTAATTTTTTTACTCCTAAAGTTTTTTTTGCTCCTGAAGGTCACCCACCATCTACGCCGACTAAGCCTAAAAATTCGCCATAAAAATATATCTTTCTGGAACGCCCAACACGCCGTGAATTCTCGCCCTATATTCGCTCTAATAAAACAGAGTTCTAATAAAACTTAACGCTGTACAATCTTACTACAGGCGTAACTGGGCGGAGGACTGGCGCTAGTGAATGCACATGTGCAACGACGATTCATCTGAACAGCGGTTAACTAATATGGAAATCACCATTCGTTGCTTGAACGAAATTTGAAGGAAAGAATCCAACCTGTAAAAAAGGATAAAATTTTACCTAGTGTAGGATCCAGTGCAGCAGGAAAAAAACCTAAACTAAACTAACTTTATTTATAAGTTCTAAACTGTTCTTCCTATAGAGGTCCAGTAAGCATCGTCTCTTATTGATCCAGTGTTACTACAGGAGGAAACCTAAACTAAACTAACTTTATTTACACTGGATAACTCTATCAGTTCTAAACTGTTTTTCCTAGAGGTCCAGTAAGGATCATCTCTTATTGATCCAGTGTTACTACAGGAGGAAACCTAAACTAAACTAACTTTATTTACACTGGATAACTGTATCAGTTCTAAACTGTTCTTCCAGGAGGTCCAGTAAGGATCATCTCTTATTGATCCAGTGTTACTACAGAGGGAAACCTAAACTAAACTAACTTTATTTATACTGGATAACTGTATCAGTTCTAAACTGTTCTTCCAGGAGGTCCAGTAAGGATCTTCTCTTATTGATTCAGTGTTACTACAGAAGGAAACCTAAACTAAACTAACTTTATTTATACTGCATAGCTCTATCACTTCTAAACTGTTCTCGCCGGAGGTCGAATAAGAGTAGAACGAATAAAATAAGAGTAGAACTGGAAGCACTCTTCTCACATGTGACGAATTATAAATATTCATAATGAGACAACTGCATATTACAGGAATGGCACCTCAGTCACAGAGATGAGTGGTTCATGCCCACATTGGAAATGAAGGAGGTGTACCTGTAATCCTTTTCTGTTACGATCATCGAGAATTTCTACATGATTTCTTGGAAAGTATCCTTGTTTTCCTGATTTCCTTGATTTCCCCTCCCACCAAAACCCGCACAAAATGAGGTATTTCTTATATATAAGGCCCGTTCAAATGATGTTGGATGAATATTTAGAATCAAGTCCAAGCCACTGATAGCAAACCAACATTACCAAACATAGGTCAACATCATGCCCAAACGAATGGCGAGGCTAGCCATGGTCATGCTAATAAACCTTTGAAAATTTGAATCGTTGAAAATTTGCATGGAATGAGCTGTTGCTATGGTTAGCCTCGTCATTAGTCCAAACAGACCCAACAATGTCGCATCTAACAATGTATTGTAGGATGACGTTGGAACTGCTTTGAACGGACCTTAACAGATAAATTTGATTAAACTTATCCGTTTTGATAATTTTAGATATGTCCCAGTATTAAATTGGTTATATAGCAGCTTGTAACTGCATTAAAAACTCATTAATAATTCATGACCATCATTTCAAAGAATGGTTCTTCATGCAGTGGCTCTATTGTGCGAGTTTTAACTGTTTCATTATTGTAATATAATTTCTGAACACAGATACAAAACATAGATGGGTTTCATAAAGTGTGACAGTAGAACACATCGTGGTCAACTCACTCAACTATAATTAAAATGAAAGACAAAGTGACGAAAAACACTGCGTATTCACTTGATGTGTTGCAGCAAATACATGTACTGTTTTTGTACTGGCAACATTTCCCATCATTTCCACGTTGTCATAAGACTGAAAACCAGGGTATGTAAGCGCCCTGCTGAAAACATGAAAGCCGACCACCATGTGTAACACCGCATAAAACACGTGACTGAAACCCACCAATTAACTTCGACTATTATAATACGAGACACAAATATAATCTCACAAATCCAGCCTACATTGCCTACACCTAGGACCTTCAGCGCTTTTTCATGCGAGATGACTGGAACCTAGGCAATTTGGGGGCGGGGCAGAGGAAGGGCGAAGCGAGAAATGTAAGAAATCCCACTTAGTGACGTCATTGAAGTGAATTAACCTGATGAATCAAGTGTCGTCTGCCGAGTAAAGGTCCTGGGTCTAGGCTAACAAAAATCTAATCATCTAAGCCCTGTTTACACGAGCAAATTTTATTTGACAAATTTCATATGTCAAAGATATTTTGCTCGTGTAGATGATACATTGGTGACAAATTTATTGTGACAAATGCATTTAAACACAAGCTAGCATTCTAGCTTTTGATCAAATGCACTTGTCATATTAAATTTGTCAAATAAAATTTGCTCTTGTAAACGGGGCTTACAGGTATAATCTGCAAAAATATCAAAAACATTTGAACTGGTTTACATCACCAAACAATCTTTCTTGTCCTTCGGTTCTCCAGACGAGCGTGGTGCTGACATTTGCCTCACATTACCTCTTGAGGGTACAACACTTGGTGGTGGTGGGCGGGCGGGGTAAGGAGTGTACTCGGGCGGAGGAACTGGGGCTGGCGCTCTTTCTGAGTAGAGTGGGGGAGCTTTGACAAAATCAGGTGGGCCTGAAGGGGTATTTGGGGGTAATGGTTGTTGTTGCAGTGCAACAGATGCTGTGTTGGGAATTTGGGGTACATATGCTGGCGAAAGTGGATGATTATTAGGGGGTACATATGTAGGTGGGGGTATTTGGGGGTAATTGTGTCGAGGTGTAGCTGTCAATCCATGGTTATCCTCAACGATTTCAAAATCTAGAGAAAAATTATGAAAATCACGTGTTTGCGTTCGTTTTGCATCAGACATTACTGCCACGATCGTAATTGCACATTTTTGGACCAGGAACTGGTCGGGGTCGACGCTCTTCGAAAAAAGCCTAAGGCTCCTCCATTTTGGGTGCGATCCTCATGAAATGTGGCACGGTGTCCGATTATTTAATTCTCGATCTCAACGTACAAGCAATTCTTGTCTGTACGCGTCGAATAACAATATGCATATTATTAATATTCCCAGACAATCTCACCACAACAAAGACAGTCATGGACCATTAAATTTTGATTAAGGGGTTGGGGTTTGTTAACGACCTGGTTAGTGACCTGAAACCTCAATTGCCCACAAAAAATAATTATTCACGCCCTCGAGCATTTTAACTGAACAAATATTAAAAACCACTACGCTCATTACATTAAACTACACGGCGTAATTTGCATGAATAAAGAAGCGAACGCTGCCAATATAAAACACCTCCTCTTCGAGAACCATTTATTGACCCAGCGTTTCGTTCGTCATTTAGATCATTTTAACATATTTAAAAAATGCCTATAGTCGAACCAACATTAAGGGTTTTAAACAATGCAAAAGCTAGAGTTCTAAACCGATGGATCAACGTGCTGAACAATTCGGGAGTCCCAATAGCATGTCAATAGTTAACTCAACAAAGTTACGATGCTACAAAATTTCGCCCAAATTTTGACTTAGAAAATATTAGGCTTACCCAGATTTTATTATAGATTCTACTACGCTTGCCCGTTGCCCGGATTCTTGAAAAGTAAAGTAAAGCTGAGCTTGCCTTAGCAAATTTCGACTAAAATTTGACTTAGAAAATTTCGGGCTGATCGAAAAAATTTTTTCGTCATAGACCGACTCAGAAATGTTCAAAACACATATTGAGACAGAAAGTTTTGGCTCAGGAGAATTTTAAAGCACATTTTGACATGACTTTCTGAGTACCGAGCCGTATGCAAATTAATCCTTGCGGGACCTTGCCCGTCCTTTAATAGCGAGCTTAAGATCTACAACGCGAACTTACGACGCGGACGTCGCATTAAACAAGTTTTATTTTAAAACGATGGCAAATTCCATTAAAATATTTGTATCACAGTAAATAAAATGAAATTATACTGGAAAAAATGTACAACATAACAAAGGCTAGCAATATATTAAGAAGATATTTTTTATCATAAGTTTTTACGACTTCTATGACGACGAATCTTTGCAAATATCATGTCGTCTCGGATGGTAGTTTTGGCGGGAAAATGTGCATTCGTAACAATAGTCTATAAAGCCTGGTTTCTATCATTTCATATGGCTGTTAACGTGTCATCACAGTGTCACAAATCTCAAAGAAATAAACTCTGACAACTCTGACTAGGCGTACACGCGAAAACTAGGCTTCGGTAAGCACGTCCGCGTCACAAATTCGCGTTGTAGATCTTAAGCTCCCTAATATAGATTCCACTACGCTTGCCCGTTGCCCGGATTCTTGAGTCAAGTAAAGCTGAGCTTGCCATAGTAAATTTCGACCAAAATTTGACTTAGAAAATGTCGGGCTGATCGAAAAAATTTTTTCGTGATAGACCGACTCAGAAATGTTCAAAACACATATTGATACAGAAAGTTTTGGCTCAGGAGAACTTTAAAGCACATTTTGACATGACTTTCTGAGTACAACTAGCCGTATGCAAATTAATCCTTGCCCGTCCTTTAATATAGATTCCACTACGCTTCTACTATATAATCATCAAAGTAACTAAATTGTTCTCTATATGTTTTCATTTTAATACACCCTTTCGGAAATTACGTCACCTTGGCTATAGAGCCTCGTTTTCGTGCGTGTGACATTTGTTAAAGTTCACGTCTCAATCACGGAATCGAGGCTCTATATAGGCAAGGTGACATACTTTCAGGAAGCGTGTATTGGCCCGGCTTTGGTCATGTCAATACAGTTGAAGTTGACCATCACGCATTTGGCACCATATAAAAAGCGCTATAACCATCTATGGCATTACAAATAAATAAATAAATCAAACCTTGTAGCATTGCTTGTGTCTCGTTCACCGGAGTAGCGGCGTACAAAATATCGAGAACGAATGCTGGATAACACTGGTCAACATTTTCAATCACAAAGACAGAAGGATCGTCTTTGCTGTCTACCAAGGAGTCATAGAACTTGCCATCATGACGACGAGGGAATTCTTTTAAACCACGTGTACCTTGGGTAGAGATTCCAAGCAAGACTTGACATACGATGAGAGAGACTTGAGAGCCTGCCAGATGGTCTCTGCACCACTGTATACATAACGATGCATTCGATGTGAAGTAATATCCTGGACCGAATGGTTTATGTAAGATTCTGCTAATACTGCTATCATGGATATTTCCTCTCATAATTCTCTCAATATCTTCAGATAGACATGGTATAAACAGCCTACGATCGTTCAGATTTTCTCCTATTCGAAGCTCATCTGTCATGGATTTCTTTTTGCTGTTGAATAAAAGAAGAAGTGTGAGAAGCGTATAACGGTACAGGGGCAGCTTCACTCTCAGCGTTCCAGAGCAGTAGATGGTGCTCAACTTCAAAAATGTTGGCAGTTCCAGCAGCAAGTAAATTAAACTACATCTTTCAATTCTATTCACTTGACATAAAAAACAAGACTACTATACATAGAATGTAATAAATTAACATTATTTTCTGCACGTCCATTTTTAGAAAGGTCCACATCCTGGATTTTTGCTTTGCAACATCAGTCGTAGGCTGTCCAAAATTGCGCCGCGTTAGCGCAAACTTTATTTTACGGTAATCTGATTTGGTTTCCCTAATTACCCTAAAGTACTTAATGTAAGTCCGTAATCTCTTGATTCTATAATTAACAACTGTGTTAACAGTTAATAATATTTAAACGCGTTCTGCGATCTAATTGGGTTACTTTACAATTCATTTGTACTAGTTAAAAAGTTAGCAGCCTATCTTTATCTGATATACGACCCATCTTGTGAGTTCATTGGCGAAGTAATTTTAAAACTAAACATTGTCTAAGCTGAGAAAATCAAAACTGAAGTTTACGTAAATCATGACAAATCTTTATCCGATTTGCAAACATTGATTAAACATTTCTTTTGAATTTTCTTCATGAATTATTAATGAGTTTTTAAGGTCACATAAAATAATAAATTCTAAGTTCGTGTGACAGTTTTTGTTTTTGTAAACCCAAGTTATCGCGAAGCCGATTTTGCGGTAACCCAATTTGGTTGAATTTCTCCCGCAAGTAATTTTGGACAGCCTGTCGTAAACATCAGCCGTTTGTCAAATTCCCTACCTCTTATACTTATCCCAAAGAGCATCACTAACTATCTTTTCCATCTGGTTTACAACCAGAGCATCTTGGTTAGTAGAACTACCCAGAAGTTTTTCGATCTCCTTGTATTCTAGGGAACCAGGTTCAACTCTCGTGCGATGACAGTTAGAAGGCTGGAGAGGAGCAGTCTCTCTAACTGGCTCTGAAGTGAGTGGAGGAGGTTGAGTTGATACTGGTGAGCTTGGTGTGGATTCAGTCTTTACTTCTGGCGTCTGCTGTTCTTGTCCGCTTGTAACAATGAAATAAACATGAATGAAATAAACATGAATGGAATAAAGATGAATGAAATAAACATAAATGAAATAAACATAAATGAAATAAACATGAATGAAATAAACATGAATGAAATAAAGATGAATGAAATAAACATCAATGAAATAAACATGAATGGAATAAACATGAATGAAATAAACATAAATGAAATAAACATGAATGAAATAGACATGAATGAAATAAACATGAATGAAATAAACATGAATGGAATAAAGATGAATGGAATACATGGCAATGCGTGACTGGACGGCCTTATTGGATGTTCACAACAATCCAATTGAGCCGAAAGGGGTGCATAATTTTCCGTGCGTAATATTAAAATACTCAAAATTTGCTCATTTTACAGAGTTATATTTTTCGTATTTTACAACATTTCGCAAACAAACTTTGCATTTTACTAATTTTAGGATGCTCTTTTGAGCTATAATGATATATTTCGTCTTTTTTGTCTAGATAAAAAAATTAGTTGATAGCTGGAATTATCCATTGGAACTTTCCGATCACTGGATCGGCACTCTTTTCATTTTCTTTACCTCTTTTTCTCATTAACTTCACTCTCTGTCAAGAAAGCAGAGGGCCTACGTCGATGACTTGACCACAAATCAACCGGAAAGTTGCCTTCCAAGAACAATTCCTCAAACACACTTGCCTAAAAATGACAATCATATTATTAATATTGAATTGTCCATCCTGTGTTACTGACCAGGGTCTGAAATTTATATTTGTTCTCAGTATCCAAAGGGGATACCAGGATTCAAAGTTTAGTATACCTCCTGAGAATCCAGTATCCCACTTCTGGACACTGGTTACCAGTACCATAAGTATTATATCCTGTCCCATCCAAATACGTTTCCATAACACTCACTGTTACAAATTACAATAACAACTGAGGAGACTCCACAGTCAACAACAAATAAACAATTAATCCACATAATCCTTCAACAAACTTCTATATGCTAGTCCTCATTGAGGAAAGACTGGTGGTAAACTGATAATATTCAAAAACTTTCAGGAGCCCATCAAAGGAATTTTTTTAGTATCCAGTCAGGATAGTATCATTCATAGTTTGGTATCCAAAACCAAATTTTTGGTATCCTGTGGATATCGGGATACTGCAAATTTCAGACCCTGCTGACAGCGTGGACAAGCATGACTTACCTTACTAGTTTCAAATTTAATCCATTTTGGTAATTCCAGTTTGTACCACATCCATGGTGTTTCACACCAAGCTTCACTTCCATACTGGGTCGTCTTTTGTCGACACTCCAAACGACGGATTTTAAAATCTTCACCAGCAGAAGGATGGCCCGACATTGACTGGAAGTCTAAACGAACACTGTTGAAAAAAATATAATTACAATTCTGATTGGCTCATAGTAGCAGTAACTCTAGTGGAAGTGTAATCTCTCTAAAGGCCAGTTTCCACTCGGGAAAATTATCCATGGATTGGAACGGACAAGAAAGTATTTCTTTTTCTTGTGAGCTCTGGGTTGGAACTAATAACTTTGACACAAAGAAAAATTTTCTTGTCCGCTCCAATCCACGGATAATTTTCCTGAGTGGAAACTAGCCTTTAGGCATCTGCCTGTACAGTAAGTATAAATCAGGCCTATATTAATAAAGCATATATTCCTGTGCATACCTTGACAGTACATCTCCAGGTAGTTTTGTTGAAATATTCAATTCTGCAGCAGTGCAGTTGACATCACAAAAATATTTCTCAATATTCTCACAATCTGTGTTATCAAAACTGCACCATGAACTGCTTGATAGCTTCAACTGCCAGCAATAGGGCAAAGTAAAATGAACACGACTTTGTGAACACTTTTTACGGCGACACTGCTGCATCAGAAACTGAGGACAAATATTTGGAGTGACTTCTTCTATTTCTTGGGCTAATAAATAAATTGTAAAGCAAATTTACACCCTGCAATGAATTAGCACAGCCCTGAAAAAGTGGGAGGTTTCTGAATGGGGACCTATCATTGAATTATAAGTAAACTACTTACTTATAAGTTTATCTCCAAAGTGGGGGCTAGGGTAGCTAGGTTTCTAAAGAGGGGGACATACTGTACTTCTGATAGGGACATATTCCCATCAAAGTTAGGAGCTGAGGTTACTGAATGCAGGGAGATCTCAAAAAGAAATGCAGAATTTTGAGGGGGAGCTTTGATAGTGACAGATACAGATAGATAAGAACAAATACAGCTAGATAGGGATAGATAGGAGCATGCACTTGAATACTGCAAAGTGCAACAGAGGTACACTTCTCAAAGGAAGCGTGTACAAATACCTGCAAGACGCAACATCCTGAAAAACTATGTATCCCCAGGATTATAATAAACTGAATATTACCTGGACTATCAACCTTCTGGGTAAAATCAATATCCATCAAACTTCTTGGTTCATCTGACGCTTCTCTCTTGCCCTGCTCCTCCCCAGGTTCCCCACCACTATGTCGTGGGCCACTGCTTCGTCTTCGTACATTCTCCAAAACAAAAATCATCTTCTGAATGTACTTGTAGTTCGGCTTTTTACCAAAAAGCTGATACATTCTGAGGATTTTTGTTGCAGGATCTCGCTTCAAGGCTTCCTCATGGCCATGC